AGCTGCTCAAGTCACCGAATGGATTCATTCCATCGATACTCAATGCAAACCTTACGTTTCTTGGGTCCTCTGCAAACTTATGGTACTTTGTGTCAAATTCCTTCCACTGTCTTGCATCTGCAGGATGACGAATCATCCCATCCTTTTTTCGCTTTTCATGATGCCAGCGCATCAATTCGGCATTCCTCGGGTTCGAGAACAAACGCTTCAAATGATCTTTCACCGGAAGGTACTACATGACCAGCTGGGGAATCTTCTTTTTGTTGCTGTCTTTGCATGGATCGGACTCTTCAAGATTGTCAAGGACAACATCCTGACCCTCGGACTGGCTACGGCTTGTTTTGTATCGACTACTCTTGCATGTTGGGCAGCTGTCCAAATCCTCGTACTCTTTACGGAACAGGATACAGTGGTTAACACACGCGTGTATCTTTTGCACACCCAATGACAACAGGCATATAAGCTTCTTCGCTTCATAGGTGCTGGTTGGCATTGAGTTGGGCTTCGGCAACAATTCTTTTAGTAGAACCAACAAATCGTTGAAACTACTATCGGACAAATTGTTTCTAGACTTCAATCTCAGAAGTTCAAGCACCGTACGCAACAATGTGAAATCCTTTCCACAACCCTTTGCGTCATCGTAGAAAAGTTCCTTTGATGCCTTTTGTAATGCATTGAAATTATCCAAACCACGAGCAGAGCCAGCCACAACTTCAGGTTCAGCATGGTGCAACATCTCCTCCAAATCAAAAGCAGTTCCATCACTACCATTAGCATCATCTACCGTGACATGACCATCATCAACATCATTAGCTGTGTCATAACCATCATCATTAACCGATTCTTCTTCTACTACCGTGAAATTCCAGTCATTGAACACTTCATCCTATACTACTATCTCTTGGTTGGGAACTTGACAACTTGCAGGGATTTCTCCATGGTATGACCAATTTGTGTAGCCTTCAACAAATCCATCTGTCACCAAGTGTTGCTCGATTACAGATGGATCATTCCAAAATTTCTGATTTTTGCAGTGTTTGCATGGACATCTAATTTCATTTGTCTTCTTAGCTACAACATTTTTCTTCGCAGCTTTCATAAATATGTCGACTCCTTCAATATATGACGCACGATATCTCTCTCTACGCATCCATGATCTATCTGCCATCGTCTATGCATTGAGAAAAAAAAACTAACAATTAGTTTAAATAGTTTTAATAATATGTCACATTAAAATAATTACGCTAATATGTAAAAAAATAAATTAAACATTGTGAAAAATATTACAATTAGTATAAACACGGAAAATTTAAAACTATATTATGACTTCATTTTTTTTAAAAAACCTACCACCCATATTCCCAATACATGACAGCTAGACATACAACTAGAAAAAACTAGACAAAATTACCAAACTACCCTCTTTCTTTCTCTCAATTCTCTTCCATAACCAGATATAGATCTAAAGTGCACAAAACAACCGTGCCATATAGATCTTCTACAAATAAACCTATCAAAACATTGCGAAATCTATATACATTGATCATGTACAATATATCATAAAAATTTTGACCGTTTTGAGCACCACAAAACAAATCAAAACGAATATGCCTTGGAAACTTGACCTTGCAAAATCTCAACGTAGAACGGATAAAAATGAAAAAAAACTTGAGAAATGGAGTACTATAAAGTATAACTAACCTTTGGTACAAAAGATCTATCAAACCATTCGAGTTCAAAAACTTCTCCCCTATGTTTGAGTTCATAAGAGAGAGAAAATCGTGCTCAAATGGCATGGCAGCTCGGGCACGGCCTTATGTAGGAGAACCAATTTTCACTGGCGGACTACGTAATACACCGCCATAAAAAATGATAGAGGTGGCGGTGGCTAAAGAGCGCCGCCAGCGAAAATAGCTTCATCTACAACGGCGGTCCACGTTATCGTACCGCCAGAGAAGATGAACTTATTTTCGCTGGCGGCGCGCCGAAGGTACCGCCAGCGAAAATAGAAAAATCTTCGCTGGCGGCCCGTATTACTTAGCCGCCAACGAAAATATTTTTTCGCTGGCGGTCGTTGCCTCCCACCCCTCGTTAAAACCTTGCTGGCGCCGCCAGAGAAAATATTAGGCCAACGCCATGAAAAATCATTTTTCTAGTAGTGACATGCATTGCCGCTGCCCACGAACTAGATCCACCGCTCCTCCCCTCTTAGCGCTGAGAAGAAGGCAGGGTAGACGAGAACAAGATTAGGTGTGGGATGGTAGGGACGGGGCGGGGTGATAAGGCGGAGCTAAGGCTTGACGATAGGGAGGTAGCCTAGTGATGAGCGTCGAAGGCATCCGAGTGGTGATCGGCCTGCGCCCTCAGTTTGGCTAGACGGATCCACCGGTGGGGAGGCTAGAGTCGCTAGATCTAGCATCCCAGCCTCCTCACTAGCTGATGAGGGGGCAAAACCAGAAGTAAGAGGAGAGAAGGGGGAGGCACGCACAGTGGGGCGAGAAGGGCGAGGCAATCCTAGAGTGTGAGCCTGGAAGAGGAGGGGAGTCGATGCGGATGGGAGGGCACTTAAATCTTTATTTCGCTCTGCCAATATGCTTGACTCACCTCCTTCGACCAGCTCTTTTGTGTCGGTTTGCCCAAAAACTGACACTAATAGTTACCTTTCTATGTCGGTCATGTAGGGAATTGATACTACCTCAGTTCCAGGATATAAGGAGTTTTAGAATTGAACACGGTTATAAAAAAGTAGGTAAAATTAAACGGTAGAAGATTATGATTGGTTGAGAAGTGGAGGTTGGTGGGAATTTTGAATGGTATAGGGTTGCGATTGATTGATAAGAGAATATTGGTGGAGAAGAAGTTATATTTGGGACAAATTCTGTAGGAAAAAAAATATTATATTTTCAGATGGAGGAAGTACTAAATACATCAATGCTGTTTATTAAACAATGTCAGTAATGATCCCGAACAATGTCATTTTTCTACTTCTGAGATGCGTAGGGGCTCGGAGGGTGGGAAATCCCATATTAGTGCTAGTTTTTCTACTACTCCCTCCATCCCATAACGTAAGGCGCTCACAAATTTCAAGATTTAACCTTCAAAATATTTTGACCAACATTTAGTATAATATGAATAATATGAATTGAATTTTTACTTGTTAAAAATTATATCATTGGATTAACATTTGAATTTACTTTCATATGGTTATAATTTTGTTACTATAAACCTTGTAATATATAAGAATTATAAGACTAAGATTAGTTTTGAAGACCGTATCAAGTTTGACTATGCCTTATATTATGGAATAGAGGGAGTAACTGGTACGGACTTGCCGGTACTAATAAGATGCTTCACAGCAGTGAAAGCTGAATTTAATGGATTTTAATCCAAAAGTATTTTCTTATGATATACTTTTTTGTCATAAAAATGATATATTATTGAAGCATTTTTTTCAAAGATTATCCGAACGAAACAAAAAAAAACACCTTATATTTTGAATTAGAGAGGCAATTAAGATAAGTGCAGCATTGGAGTAACGCGCAGAAGACTGTACTCAATAAGACGACGTTAGAGCATGTGTAGTGTGTCATGCATGCATCGATACTAAAGGTGGGACCCATGTCAGATATAGCACCTCGTGAGAACTGATGCAGTGTATAAAGTTGGCAAAGGTACTTATTGTGGGCCTCACATAAATTAAAATAAGATAAAGAAAAGTCATAATCTCTCTCCTACATACAGGCCAAAGACACAATTTGTCTGACGCGTGGGCCATGTCATGTGCTCTTTCCAGTAGAATCGGGACCTATGACTAGTACCCAGCTCTTGCTTGAGACCGGCTAAAAAACATATCACAGTGTGTGGTCTATCCTTTTCTCTCTCTTCTAATGCCTCCTCTAAGTGCAACACTGCGTATGCTCTTATCTGAAAAGCATGACGAGTGTGTCCTGTCAGGAATACATGTGCGACACTCCAACAAATAGCTGGACAGATCACCCCTTTGGCCATCTTATCTGAAAAGCAATCGTAACGTTGTTCCTTTGGTCGTATCTGATCCTATTCTCCCACCATGCCACTTGTAAACCAGATTTTTGAAGAGAAAGTTTTGGTGCCGTTTCTTCGGGACAATGATTTGTTTCAAAGGTTACGTATGGCTAATTACATCCGAAAAGAAGAACATGGTTTTCCTATTAATAATAGAAGTTGGATGCATCCATGCATATTACAATCAAAAGTATAATTAATTAAATACCCAAGGTATAACCAAATCAATATGCTGTCAGTAACGAGCTAAGCGAGCGAAATTTCGTTGATTAATTTAGAGTTAAACTGAAAATGAGCATTCTATAGAGAAAAACCAATATAGAGAGAGGTCATGTGATATGTTTTCGACAAAAATGAATTTGCATGTACAAGTTAGTCTTTCCAAATTAAATAATAAATGTACTTGACTATTGACTCGATGGAGATGGTCTTTTTCTGCCACGATCAGCAACCAGTACTACATAGACATGTATCACTGCTGACTTATCACTGTCAGTTTAACGTGAACAGATAGTGATGGAATATTACTGCCAATTCAAACAAGCTCCTGCCAAATCGAAAATGAATTGGCAATAATGCTCAGTATTGCTGACGGTTCAAGGCATGATGTTTTCTAAACGGCTATGATGCTGTTTTCTATAGCAGTGACCCCCTCATGTTGCAGAATATATGGACTGGTTTGGTAAACCATGGATCACCTGAGGATATATAACGCACCTAGAGTTTAGCGTAGTGAAAATCAAGATGAGATCGATCGCCTAAAAAGCTCACTGCTACAACTCAGTTAAGATAAGGACAACATATTATAGGCATGGGTCCAAGGGAACATGTCTTCGTGGAAGGACCACCACATGTCGAAGATATTTACTATAGCAACCTAAATATTACAACGTAGAGTGACAAACACTCCAAACAGATGGCAATTCTCCATTAATTCTCGCATATAAATAGCACCATTGTCGCCTGTACTACCGTGAAGAATCGTATTCCAACACCAGTTCCACCCTCTACAAGGCGCGTCTAGCTAATTAAGCATGCCACCGTCACGTCGCCGGAATAACTCCTCACTCTTGGAGTCATCGACCATCATCACGGCCAACTTGATCATGGCCTCCTCCTCCTACCTCCTATCCAAGATCACTCCGCGTGCCGCACCGTCGTCCATGCAGTCTGCAGCTCCGGCGCCGGCCAGACCACCACAGCCGCCGCCAGCCGCTGTGACGGCCCGGGCATGGCCTACGGCGGTGTCCGCACGCTCCGTCGAGCCTGCGGTCACCCGCAGGAAGGTGCTCGTGGCGCCTGACGATGGGGAGGACGGCAAGGTGGACGAACGCGCCGACACGTTCATCAGGAAGTTCAAGGAGAGGACGCAGTCGGACATAGCGCGTATGGAAGCCGAGGCGGCCGCAGCAGTCGCCGCTGCTCGGCCGCCGCCGGCACTCGGTGCCGCCAACTTGGCTGGAACTGCGTACGGATACTATGGGACGGGATACTATTGTTAAGTAAGACTCTGCGCTGCTTGGATACGTCGTTAGTTTGCTACTACAAGTAAGATTGAAAGTACCGCCAACTATGTATATATACTGAACGCATGCTTGCTTTGACCTGTAAATTAATTTGAATTTCAATAATTCTGGCAGCTGTCGATGGGTAGCTAGTTTCAGGGTTTAACATTGTAAATACTACTTATGCATGATGATTGTAAGATAACTAATGTGCTAATGCATTTTAGTTTTGGATAAACACAAATGTTCACATGGGCAACACATGGTCTGCAATGTTGGGTTGAATTTTTCCCTCTTTATTTTTTAGCAATTTCGAAGACTTCTAAATAAAAATTATTGACCACCAGCAAAAGCACGAATTCATTGAAATCCTCACCCAGTTGCGGATATACTTTCAATAGGAATTTACTGAGACGGGATTGGTTGCAAGCTGGTCTATATTTTTTAAGCACCTTCACGAAACACCTATATTCTTGTAGTGAGATAAGGGATTTTCTTAGCTTTTATGTTTTCTTGAGAATCATTCAGGGATTTACTAAATTGCCTTGGATTTTATTTGTTCTCGATTTTTTCTGACTTTATTTTCTTACTACTTTGTTTTTTCTGATACATTTTTAGACAAAATGAAGGTTTTTTTTTCGAAATTTATCTAGGTTTTGTGAATTTCAATGTTAATGTTTTGGGAAGTTTGGTTGTGCCATTGCGATAGGCAGATACCAAAATAGTAAACTCCCGTATGCTGATCTAATTAAGAGTGTGGTGTCATGATCGCGGGGATGGATGCATTGGAAAAACATCCATGCTTTACTATAAAATAAGTGGTGGTGGTGTACGGTGAATTTTCCACCACCCCACTCTGAACATTTTCCTATTATATATGAAGCACCAATATTGTGTTAACTAATTAAAAAATTGGTAACTTTCCGTTCATCACCTCTCTTTTGTTGGCATTTTTGTCCGTCGAGGTGCTAATTTGGTTGAATCCGACTCAAGTTTGCCAGAGAGATAAAACTAGGGTTCGCTAGAGAGGTAAACTCGACTTCGACCTCGATACGGGAGCGACTTCCATGGTATTTCCTTCAATTTCTTGAGGGAAAAGATAGGGTAGGAGATATAGATCAAAAGCGCTCAACTAATTTGAGATTATCTCCACGGGTTTGGTTGAATCGGGCACAGGATTGGGGTGGCGTCGGGTGTAGGCCACTGTCTCTGCTAGAGCTTGACGAAGCTACTGTAACGACAGGGAGATAAATTGACTTCGGCTGGGACTATTTTCCTAGACCCGATGAAAAGAGGACGCAAACTTGACTTTAACGGAGAAAAGAAAGATGTAGTGTAACGACAGGGAGATAAATTGACTTCTGCTAGGACTATTTTCCTAGACCCGATGAAAAGAGGACGCAAACTTGACTTTAACGGAGAAAGGAAAGATGCCAGAAACAGAGAAGAGACATAAGGAAGGAATTTGGACTTTTCCATATTTTGATTTGAAAGGGATGATTTTGATTCCTTTTTCCAATTAAATAGTTGCTGAAATGATCTTTCATTTATTTTGTGTCCATGTTTCCAGACCCAAACTATATCCCATGTGTGTTGGCAGGAACAAAACAGTTCGGTTTGCTGACCGGTATGAGATCATGATTTGGATTAAATCTAATTATAAAGATACAATTTATATTTTATAAATCCAGATCATTATATCTAAACAAGGACCAAAACTTTTCTAGATCCACTATATATATATATATATATATATATATATATATATATATTTATGGTTACAGAAGAAATCTGCAAGCGCACGAATTTACCATTGGAGTATTTCACCCGGAAGTATTCCAAGACCGTATTTTTAATCCCAACGGAAGATAATAAGAGTGACCTTTGCTAGTGCACCTTATACATACATTACTTGTAATAGTCAAAGTCTAAGCAGGGGTTAAGTTTAATGTAGGGTAGAGTGACATGAAGCAAAGCTAATCAAATCCTCGTAATGGAGTAATTCTAACTAAGTGGAAGAAGAATTAGAAAGCACTCAATTCCTATACTTCTAATATACACTCAAATCCTAGTTTACATCTGCTAGTATACAATCATGTGGCCAATACCCCCTAACAGTGCCCTCCTTGTACATCGAGAGACCACCCCGGGTTGCCGAGTTCCTTACGACAACCTGTCATAGCCGTCCAACCGGGGCTAAATACGGAGGAGTACACACCCCAGGAATTTGTCTTAGGAATATATACTGACATGGAGGAATATCCGTAATGAGCTGTCACCATCAGCGGCCCACCTCTACTCTCCCGCAGCATATATGCCCAATTAATGATATTTAATAATCTAAGCGCCGTGCTTACATTACAAAATACTACTCTACACCCGTGAACATGACATAGAGCAACTGATATATTAAACATTAAACCCGCATGATTGCACCTCTCTGGTACACTACCCATAGAATTGGTACGACACAAATATAAAGTAAGAACAATACTCAGACTAAACAAAGTACCGAAGATATATAAAGAAGAGTATTTCATTAATATAGAAAGTATTACAGAAGAGAACACAAGAGCTGCTAGAGCCATACCAAAATTCTATTCTACTCCACTTAGCACTAAGATACTAATACTAAAGTATGAAGAGGAATTTGAGCTTGCTTGAATGTGTTGCGAGAGTGAATGAGCTCCTCCTTTTATAGGGGTGGTATGGCGGTTAATGGCATGTGAAATGTCCATTTTACCCTCACAACCGTCATTGAGAAGCAATCCTGGATGTCCACGTGGAGAGCTAACCAGACTGGGCGCCGCCGAACCTGGGCCGGCCCAGCAGGCCTCAAGCTTCGACAGGGTGGCTGATAGGTGGGCCCTCATGGCGGAGGCCTCCTTATCCATTTGCTTGCTTAGGAGTGAGGTTTTCTCCACTTTCTCTTTATTTTATTTGATAAATTCTTGCAACATGTTATTCTCCAAGTACAAGTGAAACTATATTATTTGAAAACAAATATGCATTGTAAGCATAGCTAATTCTCCACTATTTTAGTCATATTGACAGTCGAAATTTGACTGTAACGACCGTCAACAGATGACAAGGGTGGTCAATTAGTCACTGCTAATAACAATCAATGCGTAAACTAGTCCTTTAAAAAACTGAATTTTAGCTCTTTAATAATATCATTGAAAGTTTGGAACTAGTCTTTATTGCTATATCCTTTTAATGTAAACTAATAAATAATCTCACAAATAAGTATCTTCTATTTTACTTTGAAAAAAATGAGAAATCACAGACTAATTTTGTAGATCATGTTTCATTCTAATGTTTTTTAGGCTTGCTAACTAACTAAACTAATAATAATTCTAAGCTGCACAAATAAACTAGATAAATACCTATCTTAGTTAACCTCAATATAGAGTAAAAACAGGGGGATGTGGTGGTGGTGTTCGGATAGGAGGGTGTTGGCCCCCTCCGGCACCCCCACAACTACGCCACTGCCCATCCCATTCTCCTGGACATTCTCTGGTGGGCCCTCAGTCCATTGGCATAGTGGTTGGGCTCATTTGGAGGTGTTTCATTAGGTTTTTGGGTCCAAAACACTATAGGTTTGAATATAGGTTTGATTCTCCTCCTTCTTTATGTATATTTCTTCACAACTTTGGTAGTTTGTCACCTGCATCCAAATATACAGCAACACTTGTGGAAATTGTTAGAAATATACCCAACCACTTATGTAAGACGTTTTACACATTCAGTTTTGTGCAGGTATTGACGGCGAGAATTTGATACTTAATAGCTGTCAACAGTCCCAACCTAGTGGAGCACGACCCAAGAGAATCCTTAGTCGTCCTCCTGTTGACGGTCCTTAAATCATAATATTTGACCATCAATACTTGCATATAATGAAATAAAATATGGAATCCAACATAGTGGTAGGGTTTATTACTAATCATTTCTACTAGTGTTGGTGAAATATGTGTATGTAGGTAATTTGAGGAGAAAACACATCCGTCATGCGATAAAATGCACCTCCGCGAATTCAGGATGCGTTTACATGAATTGGAGGGCCCATATATAAACCAAAACCACTTAGAATTGGGCCAAAACAATGTGCAAGATGTTGGGGGCCCATTAAGCAACCTACCGGCCAAAGGAGAGGTCAGGAGGACAGTTTTTTGGTTCGGTCGAACCGCCAATTCGGCCGAACCAATCATGGCGCCTCCCGCCATCTGGCTTCACGTGGACGGCTCGGATTTCTCCCCTAAGGCGGTTGCAGGGTCTTTTGGTCATTTCCCAAGCCCCTAACCGTCATTTGGAGCCTATATAAGGAGGATTTCACTCTCATTTCCAAAACACAACTTTGAGCTGAATTATAAGAGGCTCTATTGTATCTTTTGTACATTAGAATTAGGTAGAGAGTGAGGGGAAGCTCTGGAGGAGTGCCCGGAAGTTTGGCCCTCATCCGACTTCTATCTCGACGAGTGTAGCTTCCTAGGAGGAATTCTGGAGGAGTACCGGAGCTGTTTGTATACTCTGCTCCGGGTTCGGAGAACATCTTCTATAAAGTAAGCATTCATGTTCCTTTCTTATGTTATTTAATTACTTTGTTTAAGTAAGATAGATTTTCATCTTTGCGGGTTCATTGTCTAGTATTTATACTAAGTGCTCTAGTACTAGGACTATGGATAAAGAAGGAAGTTCCTGTACAAGTATTAGAGTAATTATTAATAACTTAGACGTGGTGTCTAGGTTAAAGGTTACCTTTATTTGTTGTGTATCCCACGGATTTGTCATAGGTAGGCGGCAGGTGGTGACAGCCCTGAATCCCGGCCTAGTAATCCTCCACGTTCGGATACATCATAGAGCTATAGCCGGAACCACGCTGGCAGACCAGCAGGGATTGGTGCCCGAAGTAATAGATATGAAATGACCTTTGCTTAGCTTAGATAATTAAGACACATAGAAAGTCCTCTCTAGCCTGCCTACCTTAAGTTGTTGCCCTTGGATAGTCTTAGCCTTAGGGAAATTACACATGTTCCCTGAGTTCAATATTCTTTTGGGGTCACTCGAAGGTGAAGTGCTACAACGGTATTCCGTGCGCTTGCAGATTTATCTATTATCATAAGAAATACAAACAACTCCCATGCCCTTAAATAGCTAGGTACCCCTTCAGGGTTTCTCGGGTTTTGTTTAAACTAAAGTTTAACAGATCGTCATTTTTCAGTTACGGAATTCCAACTTATCATTTTTATTCAACTGCTATTT